ACTATTAATTCTCTTGACTTTTTTAGTTTGAAAAAAAAATCGATATTATTTGATTTTTCTTAGCTCGCATTGGTATACAGAAAGAATTATTATTTTATAAATGCAAAATATTTTTTAAGTAAAAGTTTAAAAAGTCATGAAATTATCGTATATTGAAAAAAGAAAATTTCTAACCCATATCAATGCGGATGAAGTGCATCGAATATCTTGCTGAATTCAGGTTCTTACTTACTTTTGCTGTCAGTCATACGTGAGAAGTAATAAACCATAATTAAAGATTTAGATATAGTTGAGCCTACGACAGGCGGCGCCGCCTAACCGATGCGTGAAAGTGAAGAAAAACTAGTCTGGATATTTAATAATTGTGAAACTGATATAATTTACAGCTGAATCTTATTAAAATATGCCGCTTTGGAAAGAACCTTAACCAGAGATATTGAAAGACTCAAAGATGAAACAGATGAAAGTTAAAGAAATTGTTTCCTCCTTGACTGAGCTCCTACAGTGTAATCAGGAGTTTTTGAATTACGGTGGTAAAATATTGAGTTTCTGATCAAAAATACTTTTATGTCGAAAAGTTGAAAATTCAGTACTTTTTGCCTTTGATAGATACGTGAATTTATTAAATAAAAGATCGTTAGTAGAAACAAGCATTAATTCGAGATAAATTCAAATTACGTTAAACCAATAAAAGCATATGTTTTAAACTCATTGAACCACGTTTGTCTATGTTTTTCATCTGGTAACAGCCGATAGTATTGTTGATCATCCATTTGAATATAGCCAACGAGTTCTGAAATTTTCGTATCTGTACCAGTTTCATTCAATACCTTGAATTTGCGAAGTGTTGTATTCCCTTGATTCACAGCACTTACAAAGATACAGAAATGACAACCAAAATTTTCAAATGATCCATCTTTTGGTGACAGATCTTTTTCCATCTGCTCATTAACATGCACCATAAAGTTATAAAGTGAACGCAAATTCTGCGAACTTTGATGGTAAATGCCAATATGTGGATCAGGTATCATCCAAACTAGACCAAAACCATTTATCTCATACGACTTCAAATTGAATGGAATAGTTTGCAGGGTTCTCACGGTTGCAATGGTTTTTCGTTGATATCCTTTATATTTTTGTCTACTCGTCTCTTGCTTAGTGTCAACATCTTTCACATAGGCCTGGCCAAGCTATGAAGAAAAGTAGTCAAATAGACAACGGAATGTTATCTACTTATGGGGAGGTGAAAAGGGAATAAAAAAGCCTTTTCAATTTCGTTTATAGTAAACAAAAGCCCTTTTTGTTTGGAATATCCATTATTTGTAGGTATATTCCGCTGTAAGTAATTTTGCTGCTTATCACTCTTTAGTAGACAAGAGAACTTACTTCACTTTTTGTTCTTGCTTCAGTGCAATATTCTTCCTTTGGAACGCACAAATGGCAATGCCATGGAGTATTGCATTCTTGGTACCTAGAGCACGAAATGCAATGATAGTAGTGTTTTCTCTTGTATTTCGAAACTTTTAATCGCGTTAAGCTTACCAACAACCACGATGAAATGACAAAATCTAATAAGAAAACAAAATAAGTATTCGCTCAGACTACCTAAAAAATCAGATGGCTTCTGAATACACTGTTATATACAATCAATACACACCCTCTGACAGCTTTAGTTATACCATAATCAAAGCATTCTTTCTTTTATCTTTTTTTCGTTACATTTCAATAATCTGTTTTTCATATACACTTCATAATACGCACAGCTTCTCTATCATATTCTGGCCTGTTTTTTTAAAAATTTTGTTATAAGAGTCATTGTTTGGTCAATTTCATTTGCATTTGTGTTCGAATTGACATTCCCTTGTGTTTGTCGCACAATAAAATGTGGACGTGGACTGACTTTATCGAAGACTAATTCAATCAAATCTCCTGATCTAGGTGCGCCGCATTCTGGAAAAGGAATCGGAACTTAACTGTTTTGACGAACAGCAGCCTAAGACAGTTAACAAGTTAGACAAGAGTCATAACATAAAATGAGACTTAAATGAAGTCTTACCATACTTTACAATTTCTTTTAAATGAAGAAACTTTCACGACGCATAGTTATATATATTGTTTCTCTGATGTTGGAAATTACCCATGTTTTTTTTTCTTTTCTGGGTTTTACCCCTATTATTGCTCGTAGTGGGTTACAATATATATTTTTCGTTGTGTTTCGCTCGAAAAAACAGCAAGCGAACACGTAAAGACGTAGTTCATATGAAACATTCTTTACAAATATAAATCATGTTGTTTTGATTCATTCGATCGAGAATACTGTTGTAGGTTATATCTAAACCAAGTTTACATAACGTTCTGTTCTGTACATATCATAGTTCTTGGAACTGATAAATAATTCTCGTACACATATGCATTCTATCTGTAGTAAGTTTTGATATACACATAGGAATAGTGAAGATTCTTCTTCAAATTAAGAATTTGATTAATTGCTCATAATGATCAGAATCTTGAGTGGCACATTTTAACTTTCTCAAATTTGTAGATAAATAATTACCAATTAGTATATTTTTTTTAGCAGCGGTTGAATCATTGAGTATTCTTCCAGTTTATTTCTTATCTTCATTTTGTGTTTCTCGCATATTCGAAACCTAATCAAGACAATAAAACGTCTCAACTCTATTCATTAGAAATAATCGGATTAAACTTTATGATTGGATTACTATTTTCGAAGAATTGTTTTTTTGAACACTAATTATTTGGCTCTCTGAATCTATTTATAAAGCAAGAATTTGGCAAAAGGTCGATGCAATGCTGTGCCAAACAAAGAAAATGTAAACCTATAAAATAAAACATTACACTATGAAAGTCAATCATGTTGACAAATGTTTAACAAAGAATTACTGAAAAATTCATAAAGAATTCAAAATGAAAAAAATATCAAACCACGTTAATCATATTGATCTAAGGTCTCATTATGATTCCATCAATTTTGAACATGAATCAACAAATTTCTGTACTAGTATTGAATCATCATCGAATAATACCAATATGAATGAAGATATTTCGTGAGTATCCAGTGATTATGTTCGTGATTCCTATTTTCAATTTGTTGTTATTATTCCTCTTTTGTCTCCAATTATTGGACTTGTATCCCCGCCACTATTCACCCTAATTTGTTTTTCATAAAAGACAATCTTCATAGAAAGAATTTTATTTTTGATTTCTCAATCGTTTCAGTAGATAAAAAGCCAAACCTATCTCATACGATGCATGAGAAAGATCAATTATAGACAATTCGTGCAATAGCAATGTCTTTTAAGATACTATGATAAAATTTTGATCAGTTACGTGCTTTTTTATGTCGCTGCCACTCATCATGTCTGTCTTCGGAACGGGCTGTATTATATGTATAAATATGATGAAAAGTTACCATCAATAATTTTGGTTTACTTACGTAGTTTTTCAGCAGCAGTGATATTATTCAATTTCTTTTTAAGTGATTCATTTTCTCTAAACAAAACAGAAGATATTCATAGTAAACTCAACGAATGTTTCAAAACCTTTTCAAATCGATTAATTTAGAACTTTGATCTGTAACCAGCTCTCGATCTTTTCGCTTGTTTGCAAGCGATCTAAAACAAAAATAATTTTCTGCTAAAATTTCTGTATCAGTTTAGAACTTACTGTTTCAATTCAATTTCTCGGTTTTGGAGTTGCGTAGATCGACATGTCTCAGCCTTTTGGATTGACCCGTATATAGTTGGCAGAAATGCTTGCGCTACATACCTAGTGGATGCTTGAAGATGGAAGTTGATAGTCATAGTAATGGTTATACAATTCTAGATTGATGTGAGATGTCGTCTAGAGCTTAAATGTTGATATAGTGGCTTTTTTATGTGCCCGTCATTAATAGAAATATAGGTTGATATCATTTGTTGGATTACATATCCTATGTGTAAAAAGTCTTTGTACAAATTTTATCTATTGGTTTCTTTCATTGTACTGATTGTTTTTCTAGTCATTTTGTATCTATCAATAGCACATTAGAGGACCTTTAATTTGATATAAAATGTGTTTTATTATTGTTTTGTTTTATAACTATGACACGTTTTCAAAGAGATTATCTGAAAAGTCGCATTGTACAACATGGCATCAATGGGGTGAACAGACAAAAGAAAATTACCGTTAATCATTGTTTACAAGAGAAAGTACCGTATCGAACAATATGTTATATTATTAAGAGCTGTGAAGAATCTGGTGCCATCGTTGACAAACCCAGATCGGGTCGTCCGAAAACGCTAACAACTAGTCAGTTAACACGACTAAAACGTCTTCTGAATAATAAGAGAGGTATATCTTTACATTTGTTATTTTCCAAATGTAAAGTTTGTTTTAAAATCATTTCAAGTCAGTTGAAAGCTATGGGTATATACTATTATAAGAATAAAAGAGTTCCAAAATATTCGAATAAATAACTCCAAGAAATTCCAACTCATACTCATCATCTATATCGCTTACTGTCAAAAAGTAGTTTTCACTTGATTATAGAAAATAAAAAGTATTTGATGCTTCACAATCAATCTGCACCAAGCAATTGTGGCTTTTATACGTTGGATCCAAGTACCGTATCACCAGCAATAAAATTTAAATGAACTCAAAATTTTTAGTCAAAATTTTTAGTTTGGCTTGCTGTGTCTGAGAATAACGTGTCACAGCCATTCTTTAATGAGTAAAAACAAGCTACTAGACAGGAAACATATTTTAAGGATTGCATTAAAGCAAGTCTGATGCTATTCATCCAGAGGTATCATATCAATGAAAAAGTATTACTCTGGTCTTATTTGGCTACAAACCATTACAGTCACAAGATGATGGAGTATTTTTTCAAAAGAATATGCACATTAATCAATCTGGTCACATTTTCTCATTTATAGCAACGATTGCTTGGCTCAAATTTTATCTTGAACTGTATGCTTTTGCTCTGAGTAGAGATAATCATAGTAATATAATGAGGGATATTGAGAAACTATTAACAACCGTTGAGTCTAAATTCTACTGTATCCTTAAGGTATATATTATAAAACATTTATGCCGAGTTTATCGTATTGATTTAGAAGAGTTAGAAAACAATTTTGTGAACCGTAATTGCTGTTGGATCAAAGCAGTTCTTTCAAATTATGATTATCAGCAAAGACCAACAGTTAAACAAAATGTTGTTCTTCCAACACCTTTATTTGAAGCTAGTAAAAAATATACAATTAGTGAAAACACGCTAAAAGATTGTGAATTCATGGAAGGATGGAAAAGTTTCATTCATAGGTGTTCGAACAATCAACAGTTCTCATATTGTTTTATCATGTTCTTCATGCATTAATATACTAAATTCCACAGAAGTAATGCACCAAATAATAAATATGAAAAAATGATCGAAAATCTCAGTATAGAACTGGCTTCATGTTTTGAACCTGTCTCTCACAAATTATTCCTGTCGTTATGTAAAAATTTTCGCGATAAATCAGGGTTTATTTATAAGAATTATGAAAGACATTTCGAAAGTATGTTTGCCAGGCCTTCTATTTTATAATCAGGCCAACTCACATCAAAAACAAACTGAAGTCAAGTTTGGTTATCACAGTAGAAAACTGCAAAATGAGTAATCTAAATGAGAAACCTGATCATCTAGATTTATCTATATCATTTCGTTTCATTCATATAATTACCCACGCTATTCTTCTTGTCTTACATGAGCTCGAGCAACTACCAGATTCAAAATTGCCTAATCGTAATTATTGTCGAGATTATTTTGAAAAAGATTACGAGTTGATATGTCAATTATCACCTAGTCCCGATCAATGCTATATATGGTTGTATAAATTGGTTAATCACTTAGTCGATGGGAATTTTCAGCAAGATGGCTTCCTCAATAGTGTGGGTGTGAGTGTCGTTGCGGTACATTTCTTGA